TTGTAACATTTACAGGAGGGCCAGGATCCAAGGTTTTCCAGCAGAAAGCTAGATAGTAACATTATGAATGAGATATTGTGATTCAACTGGTATTAGCTGAATTGCCTGGTGAGCCTGTCTCTAGCTAGCTTGCTAGCAGTACCCCATAAAGTTGATTGTGTTCATCTGGAGGTCGCGTTATTCATCCAAGTGACCGGCTGACTAGAGGTTTCTCCAACCTTATAAATGATACAGCTGCATAATGACTGAAGCTCGGGCTGTTAGCTCAGTTTTGTTAGCCAGTGGTGTTAGTTTTGGTCATTATTGCAACTGTAGCATTTGTAAGGTTGGAGCAACCTGCAGCCAGCTGAGATTGAAGAAGTCACTTGGATGAGGGACAAAAAGTGTGTTTCACTGAAAAAGTCCAGATGAGCAGAATCAACTTCCTGGGATTTTCTTACCTGGATGATTAAAGACACTCACTGGCATTAGTTCCCAAAGAAATAGGTATTATTCACGACGGTGCCTTTTCCCTGCCCATTTAGGTGCTGAACCTGGTCCAGTCTTATGTCACCCTGCGTGTTCCTCTCTTTGTGTCTTACGTCTTCCACTCTCCGGTGGCTGTTGGAGGCTGGCAGCACTTTGACCTGCAATCAGAGCTCAAGCTCACCTTTGTGTATGACACAGCTATTCTGTGGCAGGATGGCATTGGCAGCCCACCTGAAGCTGAACTACAAGGTATCTTCATAGCCAACGCTGTTAGTCTTTACTGAGGAAAAATGTAAATTAGTGACGCTCATTGGAAAACGTTCCCCTCTGTACTCGTAGGAGCCATGTACCCCACCAGTATGCGTATAAATGAGGAGGGCCGTCTCGTTGTCAACTTCAAGACCGAGGCACGCTTCAGGGGGCAGTTTGTCATGTCTCATCCAGGTATGCATGTACAGTGTACACACCCTAAACCCATCTTGTGGGGTCATTCTGTACAAGCCGCCTCCTATTGGATTACCCTGTGGTCCACATCCTGTCGTTATCTATTTATGGAGTTCCACCTCAGGGGTCTTCCTGTTTGAAAGACCCAGAGGTCATTCAGCAAATGTCAAAATGACCCAACAGCGTTTACTTTTAGGCCGCAAGTAGCACAGGCAGTGTGAAAGGTCACTCTATAAATAAGGAGGTAGACACTGTTACTAGCTTAGGTTGGGCAAATTGCATTTGTGAAGATTTATGACTGTATACATGTTTGTTTTCAGGAACCAGCGTGTCATCTATGGTGATATGTGCTGACCACTCTGGGCTGACGTTCACTCTAGCCCTGGTCAGGACTGAGCCTACATACAACCAGCCCATGCAGCAGTGGAGCTTTGTCTCTGATTTTGCTGTGAGTCATTTAACTGTGAAAGCATCCTTCAACTGGTAAAGAAATAGCAAACCAAACAGCCCCATTCCTCAATGTCTGTCCAACCTCTAGGTACGAGACTACTCCGGGACTTATACAGTGAAGCTGGTCCCCTGCATTGCATCACCCAATGGGGAGTTCAGCATCCCTCCTGTCTGCCACCCAAGGGAGCCGCTTACTTTTGATATGGACATTCGCTTCCAGCAGGTTAGAGCTGATCGCTCTTAAAGGCTTTTTCAGTGTGTTGTATTTACACTTTGATGCATTATTTATTGCCTTTTTAATGATCCTTGCTCGGCAGGTGAGTGACCCGGTGGCAGCCGAGTTCAGCCTCAACACACAAATGTTCCTGCTGTCCAAGAAAGAGCTGTGGTTGTCCGATGGCTCCATGGGATTTGGAGAAGGAACCGATGCTGCTTTTTCAGAAGGTACTACACTACTGCCATCTAGTGGTGTTAAGTAACATCACAGTGGGAAACCATGACCCACAGGGAATGTCACATGTCATCTGTACTTCAATTCAGGCTCCATGATTTATGGCCGTGTGATGGTGGATCCAGTCCAGAACCTGGGTGACTCCTTCTCCTGCAGCATTGAGAAAGTCTTCCTCTGCACCGGAATGGATGGTTACGTTCCCAAATACAACCCCACTAACAAAGAGTATGGCTGCCTGGCAGACGCACCCTCTCTACTGCACAGATTCAAGATCCTGGTATGATGCAATAGATCACAAAGTATAATTGGATACTGTGGACGTGAAAAAAGTAGATGGGGTTTCTGATTTTTCTGTGTGTGTGTGCCGTTCTGCAGGACAAAGCCCAGCCAGAGACTCAAGCTACATCATTTGGTGACGTTTCTTTTAAGGCCACACTGGCGCAGGACACACCAGGAGCTCTGTCTTTGATCAGACAGCCAGGCACTGACGGCTTCACACTGTCTTCCTCTCCACTTTTTCAGGTCTGCATTATTCTCAGATACAATATGTTCATATATGGAGGCCCAAAACTGAAGAAAAAAAAAAACAATAAATAAATGAATAATTTAAGTAAATATGGTGAAAAACATAGACATGCTTTTCCATGTTGATCCTTTGAATGACAGCACCCTCATGTTAAAGTAGAAATTGATCAAAAATAATGAGATAAAAATCAATAAATACACATAACGTAATAATACAAAACTGAATTTTAAGTGGTAATGATAATAAATATGGGAATTAATGCAAAAGCGATGGAATAAACTAGCACGGCCTGCAATATTTTTTCAAATTCTTCTTTTCAAAGTCTTTGTTTCGCATTTATGAAACAAAATTCAATCAAAGACACAAGCTTTGGTTACCATAAAGCTACAAGCAACACATGTTAAATGTGAAGAGTGAAACGAATTTAAATGGAAATATAAATGTTTTTAAAAATATTTTGATATTAATGATCGCTGTATGTGTGACAATGTTTGTGCAAAGTATTGTTGCGACTGGCCCACCCGGTAAGAACGAGGTAGGATACTTACAGACATATGTGCGTACATATGCTGCAAATATTATAGTAGGATTAATGGTTGTACATTTAATGATAAAATACTTTATTTATTATTATTATGATTAAATAGTTTTTTGTTTTTTTTAATTTGTCACTTCTGGTCCTCCGTAGATGTTTTGCACAGGCGCAGACTTAAAGAGAATTACACATTTTGTGCTTTCAGGTGGCTGCTGGTCGAGAATGGTTCATCCACACCATCTACACTGTCCGCTCCAGAGAAAATGCCAACCGCAACATTGGCAAGCGCAGCGTAGAGTACCTCCATCACAGCATCTTCTCTGTTGAGCAACCCCGCTCCTCCACCCGCCACCGCCGTGCCGCCCCCTCTTTCTCCGCTCCTGCTGTAGCCCAAGACATCGGTATCGAAAATAATCGGGGCACCAACATCCAGCACATCGCCCTGGACCGAAGAGACCGCATTGTGGTCAGCCAGCGCCAGCCTTGGCTCCCTAATCGTGACAGTTTCTTAGAGCGCCCCCTGCTGGAGAGTTCAGGCAGAGAGCTGACTGATACTTCCACTATACCTTTGTTGGTGGGCGTCGCAGGCCTGATCCTCCTCACCTGCCTCATTGCCACCGTCGTCATTCTCCTGCTCCGGCGCAAGAAGCGTGAAAAGAAGAGCCAGTACCCTCCTTACGCCACCTCCTCTTCTTCGGCCTACAACGGCTACAGTCACAGCCCAGCAGGCATGTGGGGTGGCTCAGACAGCTCAGAGGTGTAAATGTGGGCCCGGCTCCAGTTCAAACATCTGTCCCCTATTAAAGGGACTTTGATAAGTCTCCTCCACCAATGTGCCTTCGATGCCAAACTTGTGTAGCACTGAAAAGAGCCCAGAACAGTCTGTGGACAGCAAAGGATGTCAGTACTCGGCCCACAGGCAGTGAATGCACCAGAATAATGAGGCTTGCTGATCTCTGATAATTGTTTGTCTTTAATTTACTGTACGTTCGTGCCTTTATTACAACCTATGCAGGATCATGGATATAAGTAGAAGCCCCTCAAAATATATCTGTTTCATTTAGGTTCCAAGTTGTAAAATATCGCTCTTTATCCAGTGTTTGCAAATGCATGTAATGTAACTCGTGAGTAAATGGCATCCTTGTTTAAATCTCATAAAAGAAAATTATTTTCTATTCAGTCTTTTTTTTTTTGTTAATTGCTGTATTTCACCATGTTCATTATGTTTTTTTAGTGGAGAACAAAAAGGACTGAATGTTAGTCAAAACTGACCTTAATGAATGATGTGATTCTTTTTCCTTCTATAAGAAGCCTGCAATACTACTACTGAGAAGAGTACTACTGAGGTGTCACCGAAAGGGATTGTAAATGTTATTTTAGTCTTTTGAAAATGCAGAAATCCACTTTTTTTTTTTTACATTTTCTAGATAAATGTGGCTAAAATCAGATGCACACCTATCCGTGTACATATCAATGTAGGACTATGGGTAAAAGGAAAAAAAGTATTACTACACCCTGGTGAAACTTGAAAAAAGAAAAATCTGTCTGGTTTGTTGATCAAGGCCTGAAAACAAGTGCAGTATAAAAACTATACTTTTTCCTTCTACAAGTGACAGCATATTTTAATGTGCCAACTATTAGTAGACTTTTATGGCTTATTAACTTTGTGAAAATTTTCCAAATACTGGATGTATGTAAACTTAAACTGCCAAACTGAAAAGAAATATTTTATGAACGTGTCATTTATCAGCTTTTTTGTTTGTTTGTTTTTTTTTTAAAAAAGGGGGGGAGATTTATTTGCGATGCTCAAAAAGACATTTTCTACAATATAAGATACAAGAACAGATGTTTTCTTAAAAATAAAAAAAGGGTACATATTGTTTGTTTCAAGCAATGGAATGTGGTACAACCAACAGGCATAAATACACATATTTCAATTAAGTACTAGTAAAAAATAAGGACTAGCGAACAAAATCTAACCCAGCACAGCTGCAGTGTTTAGGTAAGTGACAACAAGGCAGGCTTGTAAAGAAACACTTCCTAGAACCTAAAACAACCATATCAGTCCGTCAGGGATTTTACACAGTACATTATCACAGCCTGCAAACAAACACAGACACTAGGACTAATGATAGCTGGCTGCCGTCTTTAATTCTGTTAATGCGGGTTTTTCCAGCAGCTTCACAACTTGAGCTTTTTCCTTCGTCCTCGACCGTCTGGAGTTCCCTCTGACTTTCGTTTCTGCGCCTGGGAGAGAAAAAAATGGATTAAAAAAATAATAAAAGGATGTTGTCCTTAATAGACAGCTTAAAATAGTTTGAATTGTTTATTATGGGATGAATTTGTAGCTTACCGAGCCGGTCTTTGGGCCCCGTTTCTTCTTTTCCGCCTTCTCCCTCTCCTCCAGCTCCATGTTCTCTCTCTCTATCAGGGTGATCAGGGTGTTGCATCGCCTCTGGAGCTCCTACACGATAAATGGGGGGAGAAAATAAAAATTGCATTTTTAATTATTAAAACAATTTT